AGAGTGAAATCAGCAACAATGTCATATATGGGCCCCTCGGGCAAGGTATCACTCATAAATACAGCCTCTCGGGCAAGCCTCTCGGTCACTCGTGACTCAGCTCTCGTCACACAGTACTCCCATTCAGCACTCTGGCTCAATAATATCTCATAATAGTAGTAATCATAATAATCGCTGCGGCGTGCAACCCGATCCATAGTTTATAGTCGAATACGCTCACTGGGGGTGTACAGACTCCCGAGGGGCTCCTATATCCCAAGCGTCATATCGCTGCGGTGCGCAGCCCAATCCAATATATATATCGCTGCGGCATGCAGCCCGATCCATAATATATATATATATATATATATATATATATATATATATATANGATCCATAATATATATATATAATCCTCACGATTAGGTCCTCAACCTCTCTCAGTCATTGACCTCACAGCCACTCGGGCATAACAGTGGAAATCAGGGAAACTCAGCCCAAACAGTTTTTCGCATTTAAGAAGTAGAGTGATAAAAAAACCAGGTTTAAACGATAAACAGGTAAAACATGACTGAGGATATGCCTTCAAACAAATAGAGTGAGGAAAACAGTAAGAATGCCCCTAAAGGGTCTCATCAGGTCGGCACAAGGCCCCAAACATGGCATACAACCCATAATATAGTATCAATCTCTAAAATACATGATATCATGAGATTTCAAATCAAATACGCGGCTTAATAGTCGCTATGGGACGGACCAAGTCACTATCCCTACCGGTGCACGCCCACACGCTCGTCACCTAGCATGTGCGTCACCTCATTCATCAAAACAATACGAAATACCGGGGTTTTATACCCTCAGTTCCAGATTTACAATGATTACTTACCTCAAACCGGATGAAATACTACTCCGCGACGCCTTCGCCTCTCGCCTCGGCCTCAACTCGCGTCGAATCTACCCAAAATCAGAATCATAACATTAGAATATGCTAAGGGAACGAAGCCCATGCGAAAATAATCAATTTATACCAAAAATCCCGAAATTGGTCCAACCCGACCCCCGGGCCCACGTCTCGAAATTTGCAAAAATTTACATCAATAGACTCCTTATCTCCCCACGAGTTCATACATATCAAAAGTATTAAGATCCGACCACAAATGACCCTCAAACCCTTGCTCAAAGGTCTCCAAATCTCAAGCCCTAGTTTCCCAAATTTTTAACCCTTAATTTCCATTAAATTTCAAGTCAAATCAGTGAAATAACACCTAGAAATGAGCTTAGGGTCCGAAAAACCTTACCTCAATGAAATCCCTCTTCAAATAGCTCCCTCAAGCTCAAACCCGTATGGAAATGGTGAAGAATAACTCAAAAATCGCGAAGGAAATCTTTTATACCTTCTGGACCAGGATTTTCGCAACTGGGGCCCCATTACCGCTTCTGCGGTCCCGCTTCTCCGACCGAAGACACTGCATCTGCGGTTTTCACTTAAAGTCCTAGATCCGCATCTGCGATCATTTCCTCGCACCCGCGCTACCGCAGGTGCGCTTCCTTAGCCGCTTCTGCGGTTCTAGCTGATCTTCTTCTTGGCTGCATCTGCGGCTGCCTTCCGCTTCTGCGGGCATCGCACCTGCGTCCTCCCAACCGCATGTGCGGTTATGACAGCAACAAAAATGCTTCAGCTTCCAAACTCAACTCTTCAACCATCCGAAATCACCCCGAGGCCCCCGGAACCTCAACCAAAAGCATAAACCAGTCATATACTACTATCCAAACTTATACCAACCTTCAAGACACCTCAAGCAACATCGAAACGACCAAATCACATCGGATTCAGGCTTAAGAATTCTAAAAACATCCAAATTCTGCTTTTGATCAAAAAGTCTACCAAATCACGTCCGAATGACCTACAATTTTGCACATACATCCCAAATGACAAAACGGTCCTACTGTAACTCCCGAAATTCCATTCCGACCCCTATATCAAAATCTCACCTATCAACCGAAAAATGCCAAAATTCCAATTTCGCCAATTCAAGCCCAAATCTACTCCAGACCTCCAAAACACATTCCGATCACACTCCTAAGTCCCAAATCACCTAGCGGAGCTAACCAAATCATAAAAATTTCAATCCGAGATCATTTACTAACAAGTCAAAACTTGGTCAAACCTTTCAAATTTAAAGCTTCAACTGAGAACTGTTCTTCCAAATTTGTTCCAGTTACCTTGAAAACCAAAATCGATGATTCACACAAGTCATAATACATCAAACGGGGCTAGTCATGCCCAAGAACTGGCGAGCAAAGTGCAAATGCTCAAAACAACCAGTCGAGTCGTTACAGCTGCAAATGAAAAACAACAAAAGAAAAATGTGAAAATAAAAAACTTTAGCATGCATAAGTATGAAATTTAGAAAAAACGCATTACAAAAAATACAAACTACATGACAAAAACTTAAGCATATATAGTTGGAGTGTTAGAAAATAATCTAAAAAACTTCAGCATGTGTGATTTAAAGTTTAGCTAAAAAAATTGAGACTCCATGTCAAAAACTTCAGCAAGTTTGGTCTGAAGTTTTAGAAAATAAGCTAAACAACTTCAGCAGTCTTACCATGCATAAAACTGAAGTTTACCAAATTACAGTACAAAAGCTTTACTACAAAAATAAGTTGAAGTTTTGGGAAATACAGTTGAAAACAAATTCAAAAAATAAACTTAATAACTTACTTCATCCGAAAGATCAGAGGTAGGATCCACAAGCTCAGTAAAGAATGACTTTGGAATATTAATTCTAGCTAATCTGAATGGCTTGGAATTATATTCACTGGCATCCGTCTTCAACCAGTCTGTAAATCTTTACATCAATCCACTATCTTGATTAACATAATGGAAGGGACACCTTTGTGTAGTCTTTCCTACTTTCCAATCTTGCCCCCTTCGCTTTTTTTTAGGAATGATGTATGGAGATTTCAACAAAATACTCTCCAAACGAATCATTTTCCCTTTTTTATCTGGTTTTCTTTTTTCTTGCTCTTCCTGCTGTTCTGTCACAACAAACTGCTGCGCTTCAGCAGCAGGGGAAAAATCCACAGGCATGGTGGCGGATACTTGACAAACTCCCTGCTGTTCACGATGTTCTTTGTCTCTCTTCACCACCAACAACAACAGCAGCAGAATTACCTTCTGAACCAGTCCCTTGTGTACTACCCAAAGAAAATGAACATAAATTGAAGTTGGGGATATCACTAGCGTTACACAAAACATTAGGAGAACTGGACATCTTCCTTCTCTTAGGATTTGGAAGAAGTTATGATGCATCAGATGAGATCTGCAAAATCAAGGTAAATATATACATAAATACAACTGATACAAAACACACATTAGGCAAAAAAATACCTTGTAATCGAATTGCAGAAAATAACTACCTGGTCTAAGTGTTGCGATATAGATGGTGTTTGCATTCCAATGGATCCACCTCCATTACCTTCAAATACGCCTATATCTTCATGCAAAAAAAAAATATACTAAATAATGCTGACTAAATTTTATAAAATAATACAAACACACTTCACACCTGTCTGTGAGCCAACAAGTGTGAATAGATGTATTTCTCCTTTTTCATATAGCCGAATAAGCTCATCAATTTCTTTTTGAGTTGCATTGAGTCTTTCTGAATAATCATCAAAAAACATAAAAAAGAAAAAAAGTATGTAAAATTTCAAACTGAAAATATATACTTGGATCAAATGTAACAAAATTCGCGATCTATAGAATACCTTGACTTTTGTCTTCCACTGTGGTTTCGCCAGGCTGCATGCCTTGTCGATATCAGCAGCTCCAGCTTCATTCAATTGTGCAGCAAAAGGAGCATTGGGGTATTCTCTGGAAGGATTTTCTCAACTCTACCTTCATTCAATTCAGCATCATCTGAGAGTTTTTGAGTTGTATCAATTGAAGCACAACTATTTTTAACTTCCACTGCATATTCATAAAGAGGGTGGAGGGATCAATGACCAATATATATATATAACATAGAAAAAGTTTATACCTGTAGTGCAAATTTCCTGTGTCTCTAGACCTAAAATTTCCATGCAAATAGCCATTGCATCTGCAAACCGACAACATTTCCCAATAGTGGTACACACATCACTCGATATTAGTTCTCTTGTACCAATAGGTGCATGATCTCCATCGCCAAACAAATTAACTTTTGCAATATCACTGCCCAAAGCACAACTCGGTGCATGTTCTCCAGTATCAACAACTTCATCATCTGCACCTTTCTTGCTTCCTACATTCTCGGTTGATAACTGTTCATCATTTCCATCTTTGCTCAGTCTATCAACACTGGAACGTTCCTCTTCAACTTGTTGTTCGACACGTTGATCGCCTTCACAAGCCGCTTAGAGACACAGAGCAAAACTTCAGGTATAAAAGAATGCTGAAGTTCAGCAAATATAGAACACAACTTCAGCTACTAGAATGCTGAAGTTCATCACAAACAGAACAAAACTTCAGCTAAAACATGCTGTAGTTTTACAAAAACACAAAACCAAAAAACTTCAGCTCAAAACTTACAGAACATATTATGTCGACTAATTCATTGTCAAACTCCGTTGTAGAACGGTTAGAACGACTCTGAGTACGAGGTGATTCGCTAATTACAGGAGTTAGATTGGCTTCTTTTGATCGACTCCGATTACTTGGTGATTCACCAGTTGAAGGAACCGCATTAAGTACCTTTGAACGAATCCGGCTGCATTGTAATTGTCCAATTAAAGGCATTGAATTCAATTCCCTTCTGTAGGAATTATATCCAATATACTAAATGTCCGATATTTCCGTTTAATACAAAAACGTATATTATGAAAATAAAATAAAACTAATACGTCAACATATTAACACAACTACAAAAATAAAAAAACATTAACTTACACTATGATTACTGAAGTCCTCATGAAGTTCTCTATATTTAGGCTCTCCCACACATACATAACGTAACATCCTGGGAACCTGAGGGGCATCAAGGTACTCGTCCTCTCTTAAATACTTCTCCCAAATATCTGGGAAGCGCACATAGAACCAAGCCACATAACGGAAATGGAAATCCGCCAACAGTATACTCAGTTGAATGATATTTGTCCTGGTTGTCCAATGCATGTTTCATTGAGGTAATGAGCTTCTCAAAAGTCACATTACCCCAAGGATATTCAGCACAAGCCTTATCATCTTCAACAATAGCTGCATACTCCTCCAGCACAGTTGATTCATTCTTTTTTCCAAATAAAATAGACTCCACAACAAGAATTTCCATAAGCTTCACAGCATCTTTATCACTCTCGTATACGTGTTTGAAATTCACATCATCCTTTTGAATTTCATTCTGGGACATAAAATCTCGAATGTCCTTCAATATCACACCTTTAGACTTCCCAAAATAGCGCTTCAGAATCTTGCTCTCTCGTTTAATTGGTTTTTCAACATTATGTGCTGTGATCCGCAAACCGCACATAATGTGAAAGTCTTCAAGGGTGAACGATACATCATGGCCAAAAATCTTGAAACTAATGGAATCTCGATCATTGGTGAATATTCGAGAAAGACACAAATAATGAACCAACTTCATGCTGCATTTGAAATTCTCCATAGCCATAATATACCAAAATGTATCATTATTAAGCTTATCCTATTGTGTAGGAGTCAAGAAACTTGCAATTAAACTCTTCAAATCGTGGTTCCCCTTCTAGTAATCACGACAGTTAAACCAATCTCGAAATTCATAATATCTATCCCCTGGTTTTGTAGGTGGAGCAACTGGGACTGAAGTACCTGTGGATATTCTACGTTGTTTAGGTGCTTTAGGTGCTTTAGGATCTTTAGGTGCATTTGTAGGTGATTTGGATTTCATAGATACCATCTGTTCAAAAAAAGTAAAAGATAGGAAAAATAACGTCAGAACATTATCAAAAAAATCGGTTAAAACTTCACTCTAAGAAGCCTGAAGTTCAGCAAATATAAAACAAAAACTTCAGCTCCTAAATACTGAAGTTCAGCAAATACAAAACAAAACTTCAGCTCCTAGAATGATGATGTTCACCAGTTACAAATTAAAAACTTCAGCAAAAACATGCCGTAGTTTTTACAAAAAACAAAACACAAATTCAACTCCAAAATAATGCTGAAGTTCATAAAAAATATAACAAAAAACACAAAACACGAAATAAAAATTTAGCTCCTAAAACTAAGGTATGCTTGAAGTATTATAAACTTCACACTTTAATAGTATCATCTATTTAACTCTCAAAATTTTTAAAAATTTCGACGTCTCCAAAAATCACTGAAGAATTTATAGAATTTTCATCAATAACACAAACACACGTTCAAAAAACCTAAAAACACAATCGTAAGAGTAAAACTAATGCACTAATCAAAGTTAACCCTAGGAAATTGTTTTATCATAAATAAAAAAAGGGGAAACCATTCAACTAACATGACTATCAAAACCAAAACCAGAAATTAAATCGTAAGAATTAATACTAAAATAAAACCCAGAAAGTTAGTGCAAAGTACCTGTGGTTATACGTAATGTTATTGGGGAACAAACCGTTGAAAAATCAAAAAGAATGACGAAAATCGTTTGATTTCAGAGAAGAATAAATCAAAAACGCGAAGAACGGGAGAGAGAGAGGCAAAGACAGTAGAGGACTGGCGTATACTTGGAGAGAAAGTAGTCTTTTAATAAAGAAGGGCAAAATAATCTTTTTAAAAGGCTTTTTGAAAAAATGGGTACGGGTTCAAACAGAAAAACAAAGCGTCTACAGGTTAAAAAGAGGCGACCAAATAGGCGCACCATGCAATTTTTACATTAATCTACAAAGTGAGACGCTTATATCGTTTATATCAATAGTATGACAGCAATGCAAATTATATGTATTTTCTTTAACTTTACTTTTTAGCTTCTTCCTCCAGATTCTCATAATTGTTCAACTCCTCTTCCAGTTTTCTTTTTGTCACTTCCAGTCTTCTCTCTTGCTGCTCAATTTATATGCTTGATTGTATTGTTATAAGGTGAGTTTTTTTTTTTTGGAACCGCCACTAGGTAGAAATTGTTTAAATTTGATAAATTGTTGGTCCACTATTTTCTATGTTTGTCCGCAAATCATTGTGATTGATTCTGGACTGTGGAAGACAGGGCACGTGTGCAAAGGGATAGGTCTTTTACCAAGATATTTCTGTTCTTTATTAAGTTTACAAAATAGGTTCATTATCAAGGTTTGTCTGTTCTCCATTTAGTTTAAAAAGATATATGGCCATAAGGTGTTTTCTCATTAGCATGAATGAGTTATTCCACTATGTGCTTGTTGATAAGTAGAGTTTTTGACCGCTTATTCGTCTCTTTTACTTGTATTTTAGCTCAAAAATGTTTAAAGGTATTTCCGAAAACTAATGAAATGTGCTTGCTTGCAGGAGTGTTGCAATATGAGCCAAAGAAATCAAAATCAACTCATAAAGGAGTCAAAAGTGGACAAGGACCAAAACAAGGCAAAAAAGCCTACAGTGTAGACCGCACAATATTGTGTGCGGCCGCAAAACAAGGAAAGACTGCAACGACCCAACCGGTCATTTTGAGCTTTTGCACTTCGCTCGCCAGTTCTCGGGCATGACTAGCCCCGTGTGATGTATTATGACTTATGCAAATCGTCGGTTTTGGTTTTCAGGGTAATCAGAATGGTTTTGGAAGAACACTTCTCAGTTTGAAGCTTGAAATTTGAAAGGTTTGACCAAGTTTTGACTTGTTAGCATATGATCTCGGATTGGAATATCGATGATTTGGTTAGCTCCATTAGGTGATTTGGGACTTAGGAGAGTGATCGGAATGTATTTAGGAGGTCCGTGGAAGGTTTAGGCTTGAATTGGCGAAATTGAAATGTGACATTTTCCGGTTGATAGGTGAGATTTTGATATAGGGGTCAGAATGGAATTTCGGAAGTTGTAAATACTGCTCTGAGGGTATGAAACCCCGGATTTCACATCGTTGTGCTACTTTGAGGTGACACACACGCTAGATGACGAGCGTGAGGTCGTGTACCGTTGGGGATTGTGACTTGGTCCATCCCGTACGACTATTAAGTCGCGTATATTACTTTAAAACTATTGATATTGCTGTATTTTGGAAAATATTATTGTGTTTGGGGCTAAATGCCGAGTCTGGGCCTTGTGCCGATTGTTTGGACCCTTAGGGACTTTACTACTGTTTTACCTCACTGTTTTGGTTTAATGTTTACACTCACTCATGCTATGTTCTTACTGTTTTCATAACTCGGTTTTATTCACTTCTTTTATTTTCATAAATGATTTTGAGTCGAGTACTTGTTTTACTGTCAGCCCGATGGGCTTGAGTGATATCTGACTAAGTGAGGCCGAGGGCCTGTGTTCTGAGGATATCATGGGATCAGGCTGCGCGCTGCAACATGTGGTACCGAATTGTGATATATGAGAGGCCGAGGGCCTGATTTATTATGACACGAGGTGGCTTGTGATTGATATAAGGCCAAGGGCCTATTTGATTATGCCACGAGATGGCTTGATATTGCGCTTGGGCCGTAAGGGGCCCCTCCCGGAGTCTGTACTCCCCCAGTGAGCGCGGGTACCCAGTGTGAGTGATGTGTTGTAGCCCGAGGGGCTGTTGTTGTTTCATATTGAAGCCCGAGGGGCTGTTCTTGATCTATGTTGCCCGAGGGGCAGTTCTTGATTCATGTTATGCCCGAGGGGCTGATTACGAGTCATTGTGAGGTAGCCCGAGGGGCTAGTTCTGTTGATATTATGCCCGAGGGGTGGTTTATGGTACATGTTTTGCCCGAGGGGCTATTTACGTTTCTATCACTTTTACTCACTGCTTTTATCACTCATTTGAAACTATTGAAAGTTGTTTTAAAAAGGTTTTTACTGAAATTGAGCATGATTTACGAAGTAAATGATTTCTGTACTATTTTGGAAATGTACTGCATTTGTTGTAGCGTTATGACGTGGCTTACGTGTTTGCTTACTGCTCAGCCTTTATTTACTTTTATTACTTACTGAGTTGGCGTACTCACATTACTCCCTGCACCTTGTGTGCAGATTCAGGTATTATTTTGAACCCGGTAGCGAGTGTTGATTGCTCAGTGGCAGGGTCATTGGAGTTAGCAAGGTAGTTGCCCGACATTCACAGCACTGCTTTTCTCCCTCTTGTCTTCCTTAGACTGTATTTAGCACATTTTAGATTCGTAGTTGTGTTCAGACCTTAGTAGATGCTCGTGACTTGTGACACCCCGATGTCGGGCTTGTGTATTTATTCTGCACTATCCATTTAGACTTACATCATGAGATTGTTGATTAATAAATGGTATTTTGTTGATTTATAATGGTATAAAAATGACCTTTATTGGAAAATGGTTAATTCGGGAGTTGTGTCGGCTGGCCTAGTTCCACGATAGGCGCCATCACGACCGGGTCGGTTTTAGGATCGTGACAAGTTGGTATCAGAGCCTTGGTTACATAGGTCTCGCAAGTCATGATCAGGTTTAGTAGAGTCTTGCGAATCGGTACGGAGACGTCTGTGTTTATCCTCGAGAGGCTGCAGAACCTTTAGGAAAAACTTCACATTCTTGAATTCTTATCGTGAGTCCTTGACTCATCTTGAAATGCAACTCTTTGAATTCCTTCCATGCCTTCGTATACGTGCATGAGCGCTCAGTACCAGATGTGCATCGATGGCTTGTGATTCCCTGATCGAGGGGCGAGATGTGACCTCTATGTGTTGATGTTGGGCTAGTCTGGAAGACTTGAGGCCGGAATTTTGCCTATAGCTTGAGCCCTGAGTTGTTGATTGTGCAAGCGCGTGTTTCTGGATCTATATGTTCGATTGTATCCCTATTAAGGGAAGTGATGACTGGATAGCTACGTGATGAGTGTGATGTGATTGTGAGATGTGTTCATATGAACTGAATGAGCCGAGAAAGGTCTGCTTTGGGGCAGCAAGAACTATTTGGTGTTTGATTTCCATCGTGATTTGATGTATAGACCCGAGTTGTGGGTGTGATGAAGGATCTTTTCATGTTGCCTCGTTGGGAAGCGAAGTAGATTTCACGTTGTGATATGAGTTCAGACTCAGGAAGATTAAGTGACTGCGTAATGTTTATGACGGTGGAAAGGTATGAGAGATGTTAGTTTGAGGCAAAGCAGGTGGGTTATCTCCTGCGGAGTGTTCTGAAGTTTGTGTGATCCTTTTGCTGTTTGTTGGAAGACCTCTTGTACTAGTGAAATATATGTGTTGCAATTTGAAGTTGGATCGCTTAAAAGAGTGGGCTTAACTGTTACGAGGGTGAACGCGAGATTTGCAAAAGATTTAAAGTCTTAGATGGTCTGTGTTGCACGAGCTTATGAAGGATTGAGTTTAATCTCACTATGGTATTATGGCAGTAGTAGAGTATACGCATTATGAGTTATTGTGTGTTTTGATCTATGGCTTTGAGCCAAGTGGGGGAGTTTACTATTGATTAGTTGATTGCACGGTTGTGTGCTATGTTGGTTCCAGTTTTAGGCGTACTGGTGAATCAGTTATGGCTTACGGAGGTTGAGGTCAAGGATGGTTCAAGTAAAGGAAATTTTAAT